TTAAATTCATCAATCAATCCTTTTATTTATGTGATAGGCCTACATTTAAAATGAACATTTACCATAAATTAAAGGTATCTTATATTATTAGACATATTATTATAAAACATGCTTTAGTTAAGGAGTTATTGATACTTCAAGTGCAAAATAATGACATAAAACCTTGATAAAAAATGTACTTTTAAGTACTAATCACATGTCGAGGCTAAGGTTTAGTAGAAAAGGTAGCAAAGCAAGGTTGCGTGCATTACATTATAAAAAAAAAAAAACCCTAAATGGCATCACCGATTTGATTTACTTCTGGTTCCATGCACAAGTTCCTATTTATTAAAGTGGTGTCGGAATATGTTTTGAGAATGTGGGAATGGTGACAATTTCAAATATTCATTTAAAAATAACTTCAGGTCATTCGGAATATGTTTTGAGAATGTGGGAACGGTGACAATTTCAAATATTCATTTAAAAATATATTAAAATAAAGTTTTTTATTTTTTAAAAATTATTTTTAACATCAGCATATCAAAATTATTCGAAAACATAAAAAAATTCATTTTAAGCAAAAAAATATTATAAAATTTGAGGGAACACGATTTACACTACATTCCCTAATATGGCTTTTATAAAAAAAAAATGATTTGGCTTGTGTGGTAAATTAGTCATTGAAAAATCGACTGGGCACAAATTAGTTAGGATATTTTTTTAAAATAGTGAAATTACTATTTTTCCCTTGAAAGAAAAAAAATAAGTTTTCAATAAGGGGCCTTTTGGTCCTTTAAAAAAACACGGTAAAGTTATGTTCATGTCCTTTAGAGGGAAAAAATAAACATGCAAAAAAGGGCTTCTCCTAAAAAAAACAAGAAGAAAAAGAAGCTTAGTTTCAAGGATGTTTTAGTCATTTTCTTTTATTTTTTTATTTTTCAATATGGTTAGAGGTTGTTTGGTAATTTTTAGTTATTAAATTTAATTAAAAACAATTAATGACGTGTACGTCAACGCGTGAAGAGCCCCCGCACCATTCAGGTAGTATATGAGGGCTTGTCCAATTACCAAAATCCTACTTTTGTGGCAGAGTGGGAGTAGTTTCTCATCTTTTTTCTGACAGTGTGTCGTGTGCTAACGGAGGAAGTTTGGTTGGGCTGTAATGGAGTTTTTTTCTTTCTTCTCTATTTTTTCTCTTATGTCCTTGAAATTTGTATCTAACCTTCTACAAAACAATTGTCCTCCAGTTTGTAGTTTATTGATTTTGACCTTTTTTTATTACTATTTATTTAGCTTTTAATACTTTTTAAAGTTTAGTGTTTTTTCAATTTTTTCTCTAGTCATTTTATTCAATTTGATTTTTTTATTTAGTTCAATCTCTCTATTTTTGTTGCTCTATTTTTGTGTTTTATACTTTTTATTATTATTTTTTTTCAATTTTATCCCATACTATTTTATTGTTTTTTTTTTGTCCTCATTCTTTTGATTGCATATCCTTATCCTTTTTTTAATTTATCTTTTTTTCAATTTTACCCCTCGACATTTAATTTCATTTGATTTTTTATCCAACCCCTCAACATTTAATTTCATTTGATTTTTTATCCAATTTTGATTTTTATTCTTTTGATTACTATTTTTATCATTTTCTTAGTTTTTTTTCAACTTATCCCCTATTTATTTTATTTCATTTTGTTTATATACCATATTTGGTCTATATTGTTTGGGTTTTAAATTGTTTTACAGTTTGATATTTTACTTTGTTATTTTTTTGTGGTTGCCTTCTAACAAGGCAATCATTTACTAAATATTTTTTTTGAAATTTATTATTTGACATTTGGTTATTAAACCCTTAGTTTCATTGTTTGTTCCACTTTTCTTTTTTTTAAGTTATTTCGATATTATATTTTGAGTAATAGGTTTGTTACTTTAACCATGGTTGACTCAAATTTTTATTCCTTAATTTTCTTATGAATTTTGAGTGTTAAAATAATTGGCCCTTGAGCTATGCGATGTTTTCACTTTTCTTTCTGTTGGGTTATCCCGAGTGCGAGTTATTCAAGTTAACCCAAGTTAACTTGTATTTTCTTACTCAATATTTTTTTTATTTAACTTCAATCTTTTTTGTTATATCCTTTTTTTGCAAGTTTAATTTTTTTTTAATTTCAGTCTCATGTTGTGAGTGGCAAATTGGTCAAATTAACCCGAGTTGACTTAAATTTTTTTCATAATATGGCTTTTATTTTTTTTATTTCATCATTTTACATTAGATTATTTTCCCTTAATATTTGTCATTTTTTAGCTTTTTTTTTGTTTTGTTATTTCGAGGGTGGGTTGGTTAAGCTAACCTAGGTTAGCTTGCATTTTCTTTCT